CCCATTTCTGACTTAACTTTGCCATCCATATGGTCTAGAAACTTACTTTCCCCTTCAAAAGAGATGCAACTAAGAATTTGCAACATATTCTATTCAGTTCTGGGCTCAAATGGAACACTTACAGAAAGTCCGAAAATACTATGATAGAGCCATGGTTTTTGAAGGGGGGGGACAAATACATTGCTTCAGAAATGACCCCTGGCATCTAAACCCCTTTCCCCAGACATAAGCCCTCACCAATTCTCCTGTCTCTGGGTTGATCACTGCAGTCTGGTCAAAATTGAAAGCTCCCGAGTCATCCTGTGTAGGAAGAGAGAAAAAGGCCATTAAAACCCCCCAAATTCCTTGGAATGTCACATCAACATGCTGCTTCTGAAGGTTTCTAACCCGCCTGTCAGGGCCCTGCATCGTCCTCCCAAGAAGGCAGCCAGGGAATCTTATAAAAATAAATCTCATAAATCTATATACCTGTAAATCTCATAAAAAATAAAACAGAATTTCCCCCCAGTGGTCTGCAGTCAAACTACAGTAAAATGACAGTTTGATTAAAAAGAAACAGCAATGAGAAACACAACAGAATCTAATACTATAGTGTGCTATATAGTAAATTAAGATGTGCAAATCCACATTTTTGGGGCAGTTGCAAAGAGAAAAAACATGCTTTTTCTGAGGCTGTTGCAAAGAGAAAAAGCATGCTTTGAATATTCTCTAGGAAAGAATGGTTAAACCTGGCTTTGTATATGGATCCTTTCAAATCAAACTGGACATGTTCAAATAATTTTCTTAGCAACAAGACTTTTACTTGTTTTACTGTTTCTTAGCAACAAGGTTTACTGTTGCTTTCTTTTTTCCCCACTTTCCCAATTTTTCCTATTTTTCCCCACTTTCCCAACCATAATATGCCAGAGGTCTCTCATCCAAATACTCACCAAGTGTGACCCTGCTTACCTTCCAGGCCCAGACAAATTTGAGACACATTCTTAAAAATGTGTGGCTGAACACGGTGGCTGAAGCCTATCACCAGCTATGCAAGCTGCCTAGGCCCACAGTTGTCCTCTCTTCACCCAGCCTCCCTCGCAGGGATGTTGTTGCAGAGAGAAAAACTGGGAATGGGAGGACCTGCACATGCTTACAGGGGGGGTACCTGAGTTCCTAAAGGAAAAGATGACTTGGAGCCTAAAAATAAAAGCAATCGTAATTTTGGGGTGCGGTTAGGCTTGGCGTCGAGAGAAAGGCAGGCCTGACCTGGACAAACAGCTTCCCGCTGCCGTGACCGAGAAGTTCGTGGAGACCAACTTGGACTTCAAAAGAGGGGCCTTTCCACTGGATGTAGAGATCCTGCGAAACACGCCACGCCGTTAGCAAAGGAAGCCTCGTTTCCTTTCCCGATTCCCCATCCATAGCCTGAAATTATTCATTCTTTCCCTGCGGTTTTTCTTAAAGGGCTTTAATTCAAGCCCACTTGGCCCCACTTTCTCCATCGCCCCCCCCAAAAAAAGCAGGCGGTACTTTGTCCTCCTCGGCCAGGAAGGTGAGCTTCTCCTTCTGGGTGGCGTAGGCGACCGCCAGCACATTCCCCAGCGAGACGTTCTTGAAGCCCTCCGTCTGGCGGATGTCGTCATCTGGGGAGAAGGAGAAAGAGGTGGACTACAGGTGCTATCATCCCCAGCCAATATAGGCCGTGCTGGCTGAGAATGGGGAAGAGGGGCATCCTTTGGCCAAAAAGCCC